TCCTTGTTCACCAAAGTTCCGGTACCTGACACCATCGCTATCATTGAAGGCCTGGTTCATCAAGGACTGCACACTGATGTAATCCCTCTTGTGAGACATTGCTTAACCAACACATACGTCACCTGGAATGGAACTTTCTACAAACAAACTGAGGACACCCCAATGGGCTCCCCCCTATTTCCGGTTGTAGCCAACGTATTCATGAAAAAATTCGAAACTGACGCCATCCAGACTGCCACTCTACGCCCGACCTTATGGAAGAGGTACGTGAATGACACTTTTGTCATCTGGCCACATGGCCAGCCTGCTCTAGACCAATTTCTCGACCACATCAATTCCATGCACCCATCCATCAGATTTACCATGGAGGTCGAAAAAGATGGCAAACTACCCTTTTTGGATGTCTTAATTAAAAGGAGACCTGATGGTTCAATGAGCCACTCTGTCTACAGAAAAGCTACCCATACAGATGCTAACTTGAAACCGGATTCCTACCACCATACATCCTAGAAGAACTCCCTCATCAAGACTCTATACCATAGAGCCCAATGCATTTCAGACCAGGAACACATTACCAGTGAACTCAAGCACGTACACCAGGCTCTCAGGGCTCATGGTTACTCCAACTACACAATCCGCAAAGCCATCACTCCAGTCAGGAAGAAGGATCCTCTTGTGGAGCTACTCAAAACCATCACCTTACCCTACATTGCAGGGGTTACTAAAAAGATCTCCAAAATCCTGAATAAACACACGATCCACGTTCGATTCAACACAGTACATAAAATCCGTGATCTGGTTCCATCTGTAAAAGATGCTGTTCCAGACATACAGTGCCCGGGCGTTCATAAACTAAAGTGCCTCTGTGGTAGTAGTTACATTGGAGAAACCAAACGACACATCTCGGACCGCATCCGCGAACATAGAGCAGACTTGAAACACGGCAGAACAAACTCCTCTGCCATGGCATATCACTGTTATAATTCAGTGGGTTTACATGACATTGACTTCTCCAAGACAGAGGTTCTTTGCAAACCAACCGGCTACCATGAGAAATTCGTTCATGAGGCCATCCACATATGCAAACAAAGAGACAATTTCAACCGAGAAGATGGATTCTGGCTTAGTAACCATTGAAAATATGTTTTAAACCATTTCGGTTCTTAATTAATTGTATTTTACGAGGACCTTCAGACCGCAGCTCTTTCGCTGGCACTGACTCTTAATGCCTCTCACACCACGGTTAATGGTATGGTTTATAACATGGAGCATAACAGCGCCTCGCAGCTGTTTCTCCCCTCCTTCCTCCTGCGCTCCGACCATGGATGGACTCGTCCGTCTGAACAGGGCTCGTAGCTGTCCGTGGTGCTGAAGTGGAAGGTAAGAATCCACCCGTTTCTTCACCATATAACATTGTGATATAACATTGAGGTAGTTTATATTTTAGTTTTTATTGGTTTACTATATGATATTCATTATATAGTGTTGTGTATACCCAGTTAATGTTATTAGCTCAGCTTATTGAAGAATATATTGAGTACATTTATTATATTGATGTAATTTAGAATTAGGTTTTTCACATCGGTTTACTGTATGACAGTTGAGTTGTTGCAGCCCCCTTTGGCGTCCATGTACGAGGTGCCTCTGTGGATGTGTAGGCTTTGACTTTAACATCTATTTCTGTGACCAGTCACAAGCTAATCCCTTAGCTATTTCAATGCTAAATTACTAGTTGCCTCTGTGGATGTGTAGGTTTTGACTTTAACATAGCCATTTCCGTGACCAGTCACAAGCTAATCCCTCAGCTATTTGATATGTAAACCCCCTTTGTCAAGGTGCCTCACTTCTCCCAACCAGCTTAAAAGTCGCTACGAATCTTAACATCGTTCATTGAAGCTCTGTCGTCCCGACAGGTCTGTTCCTTTCTCCTGAAGAGATGGCCGCTTGCGTTGTGGCCGAAACGTCGTGAGAATTTCATAGTTTTATTATTTTATTCTCATTCTACCTGACTTTACCGAAATAACCAAAGAAGATGGATCCTTGCAGTCACGAAACCTTTAAATCGAAACACAGGACGGTGGAGTTTGCTATTTTCTTGGAATCTCAAGTCTCGTTTACATCGGGAGGTCTACCAGCCACGTCGTCAGCCACGTGGAATCGAAAATGCAAACATTTGTGGCGTATGCATTTTTCTTAAATTGTGTAAGCCATTCGATTTTTGGGCCCCAGGTCTTAGCAAAGGGTCCAATGTGTTATGGACATTTGCCACATCAAACAGGAGGATTTCGCCACAATTCTGGCTGCCACCTGTTAATGCTAGCTTTAATTACTGGCGAAACGTCGTACTCGAATTGTAAATGTTGTGGGTTTACTCTCCGACACACCAGTGTGCTGCACTAGTAACGAATCGACATTTTTTTTTACGTGAGAAACCTTACTAATTGGCTGTGTTGGGTGGTGGCGGTGGAAAGTATAATGAAATATTACTTTAATTAATATTACTCGAATGTTAATCGAATGATAGCGAATCAGTAGCGTTAATTGTCTGTTGATTGAGTTATTGGCGGTGATGAAGATGTTCACAAGACTGATATTCAAGTTGATTTAGTATAATAATTGGGTCTAGAATATTAACAATGTTGCTCAATACCATCAACAGAGCAACTGATTTGAAGTGTTGTGTTACATGTAGTGGGATAGCGGTGTATCTGGTCATTGTTGCAGATATGAAATGTTAACTTTTTTAGTTTTATTGTGCTTGGTTTTGTTGCCCGGGGAATTTAATTATAAGATGGCCTCGTCCTCGTGGTGCCAGGTATTTGATTAGATTCACGGTTGTTTATAACTTGCTTATTTTTGAACAATTCAACTCGAATCAAGAGATATAACGGAGTTTTAGTGATGAAAATAGAAGTTGTTTTTTGTGATAGTGGATAACATTTGGTGTTATTGTGTTGCGTTGTGCTGTTCATTTGGGAATTCACAAAATGGGCAGCTTGCAGCCTGAAATTAACGTTGAGTTTATGGGGTGAACAGAATAGGTGATTCAGATACAAGAAATAATACTTTTTATATGTTTATTGTCAGTAAAATATGAGTTCCCTTATTTACATATGATACATATAATTTTATGTTGATAATTGCTGTATTATTATTAATTATAATTATGCAAGTACGTATTGTTTCGTTTAAAATATTTGTTGTGAATTGTATGTTAAATGTCCTTAAATATGATAAGAGGCTATTATCATAATTAAGATTTTGGGGTGGGTTCCGTGCTGAGGGACTGAGCCGAGGTGTTGGGTGACATTGAGGGCGATGAGGACGTATCTTGTCATGCTCCTTGAAATGACACTTTGAAATAAATCGTTGCCGTTTCACAAACCTCTGGTGCTCATCTGTTATGGAGTCGCCCACTTCTCAGGAGGACTCGTCATCTCCAAACGTGTTTTTATTATTGTCTAATTAGCCGACCTGTCCACTCGTTACGATTCACGCGAGGAGAGGGACAGGGCAGGCCGGCTATATATGGAAAACATGAATTAACAGAACCAGAGTAAGTGGGGAGAACTCGGGGGTAAAGGCCAGTTTAAAGAGGTGAGTTTTGGTAGGTGCACTGCGGTCAGAGTGAACCAAACGATTATCCACTTAACTCGCTTCATCACCAGATTTTATTTTTTATATATATAAAAAACATACACGCAATGCAAACTAAACTGGTTATAAAATTCAGCCAGTCGTCACCGAATCGCAAAATGCAATCACACAACTCGGGGTGTGGGTAGCCGAGGATTGGTTTTGATGTAACTCTCTATCGAATGTTGGCCAGAAATCAAAATTAAAAAAAAAATGTCCAGGTTTATAACACTCGGCACACACGTTCACTGCAACTCACAGTGCACAACTGTGCAGGCTTTCAGTAGCCAGCCTCTTTGAGAGTTGTGTGGTGTGAATCAACTGCGGTGGTGACCCCAAAGTCCCTCGCAATGTCCACACTTTTTGCGTTGAGCTTGTTGTCCTTCCCCCGCACCTCCGATTAACACGATTGGCTAAGTACGGTGTGAAAGAAGTTCAAACATGCATACGCACACACAACCACATCTCATTGTACAGGCAGTTCCCGAGATACGAACGTCTAACTTACGAATGAACCAACACACGATGTTATTAATTTTAACCATCCGACTTGTGAATGTTCAGTCGCGTGTACGGACCCAAACCGCTGAACTATTTTGTTCGGCGGAGCGATCCACCGCGATATGTTAATCAGTTCCAGCATCCCGCTGGGAGTGTGTGTGCACTTACATTTGTGCGTTTGTAAGTGAGTGTGTGCGTTTGTGTGTAGTGGGGAGCAGTAGTGTAGCGAATAGCGCGCTGCGCTATGCTCCTGGCGACTCGGATTCGATTCCTCGCTCACGGCCAACACCGGTGACGATTATCTGAACCGGTCCTGGGCCTCCCTTAGGTCGCCTCAGCCTCAAATGAGTACCTGATGCGATGTGTAAATATCGCCACGAGGGAGACAAAGGCGGCCGGGCGTGGTGTTGGTCACCCACCCCCTTGTGTGACGTGCCGGCCTTCATAGGTGCTCGCTAACAGCACTTGTCCCACCAGTCTGTTAAGGGGTCGTCCATAAATGACGTTAGCTATTTTGGACGATTTCCCCCCCCCCCCCCCCTCGTCACAAAAAGTCAGACCCCCCTCAAATATGACGTCACAAAGCTCTGCTCCTCCCCCCAAAAACACATGCTTCAAATCGCTTTTAAACTATTAGTCATTGTAGTGCGTATTTAATATGGCGCTGCACTCTGATGTTGTAGTAGAAAACATTTATTAAAAGTCTATTCAATTAAGTAGAACGTGTTGTCTATATTTATTTAAAGTTGCGCATTTTGATGTGACGTCACATTTCTCAACCCCCCCCCCCCCACTCCGCCCTCGTCACACATCGTCACAAATGTCTGACCCCCCCCCCCCACCCCCCAAGGGTATACAGGGGATCGTGTGTGCAATTGTGGGGACTCAATGCGACCCTTCCAACAAGCAAGCCAGCATGAGGACCCGAGGCAAATGAAAGTAAAACTGATTATTTTTCTTTTCGTGGTAGATTACATTGTTTTATTTACTTTATAGTATTTATTACAGTGTGACATGCAAATGTGCAACCTTTCTTATTGATGAATGTCCCTCTTTTGTTAAACCACAAGATGTTTTATGTACAGTACGTACAATTACATATTTAGTTCCGAGATATGAACAAACCCACTTACGAGTTGGTCTCTGGAACGGAACCTATTTGTAGGTCGAGGACTGTCCCGTATTGCGCATAGCAAACACCGGCCTCAGTGTGGCGTCACCCCTCGTGATTGTACTCAAGGATGCTCTCCCATTTTCTTGTATGCGTATAAACTCTTTAACTTTCAAACTCAGCTCAACAAAAATTCCGACCTCCCCGCGGCGCTTCTCTCACCTCGGCGCTTGTGGTGCCACGACCGTGGAGCAACTCTGCAAACGCCGCGATCCCCTCCCGGCCCCCACCCTGAGCACGCGCGCACACGCAGAACTTGCGCCCACGTAGTGTCCTAGCGGGGGATTGCCTGGCACATCGGGTTTTAATCCGAAGGGTTCCTAGAGGGAGAGTCCCACGGTTTCCCGGTGCCAGGAGATTGGCCGACCCTCACAGGACAGGTTACATTGCGGTGCCCCTAAATTGGCTTAAAATTGTGTGGGCATTGTGTGGGCATTGTGTGGGCATTGTATGGGCATTGTATGGGCGCAGAAGGGAAAGGTTCACTGGGCCAACCGCAATAAGTTATTCACGACATTGGGAGAGGCTGAGGGTGGAATATTAGGCAAGAAGGGCAGACCAGTAGGATAGAATTAATGAGCACGGGAGAGCAATGGGTGAGCGGAGCAGCAGTACACTCCGTGGCACTCCATGTAGACGGGGCAGGTAAGCGCGGTATATAGATGCATTCCGACCCTTATAAGTCAGGCACAACACATGCTTATCACAAATAATTGATTTCTCACACGTCGTGAATGCAATCATACATATTTTTTTTTTAATCAGAGCTCTTGAGCCTCTTTATTCCGCGAGTTAGGCGAGGAGAGGCTCCGCAAACAGCAGAGCGAGGGTCGCGATGGGCAGCGTCAGGAGCAGGTGCAGCCAGGTCCCGTGGGGGTGCACGCTCGGGGCTGCCCCCTTATCTCCGGACTTCGTGGTGGGTTTCGTGGTGGGTTTCGTGGTGGGTTTCGTGGCGGGTGTCGTGGTGGGTTGCGTGGGGTTGCAGGGTGGCGCCTCGGGGTCCGCAGGGATCTCGGGGATTCTCTGCCAAGGGAAATACTGGTACCCATTCTGCGGAGGTGTTGAGAGTGGGAATGGGTGAAGGGGGTTTGAGGAATATAGAAGGTAAGCAGGTCAATATGATTCTTACACCTCTGTAATATGTTCTGTGCGTCTGGGGAGTGGTAGTGAAGTGGTTTATAGCCCAATGTACTACAACGCGCTCACGGCCAACACCATTAACGATAATCTGAACTGACCCTGGACTTCCCTTAGGTCGACTCAGCTTCAAATGAGTACATTGTGCAATGTGTAAGCATTGACACTAGGGAGGAAATGTCGGGCATAGTGCTGGCCACCCACCTCCTCATGTTCCGTGCCAGCTTTTGTAGGTGCTCGCTAACAGCGATTGCCCACCCTAACAGTCTGTTAATATGCGGTTCATTGTCAACCCCATTAGCAGTCTCCCAACATAGCTCCCCTCTTGCTCACACTCACCGTGTCCCTGTGCACCGCGTAATGGTTGGCCATTCGTGCCGCTTTTTCCACAGAGCGGATAGTCTGCTCCGTCCAGTTCACGTTGTCGTAGACGGCGAAGATCGGCTCCCCCTTGTCCACCTCGGGGGTTATCACCGTGTGTGGGTAATCACTGTGAGGTGGGCAGATAACACGCGCATCACGCGGAGCATAAAGTATTTTGGCCTTAAATATATACCCGACGCGGTGTGGGAACTTCAGCATCAAATGGCAATCAAGAATGCACGTTGCTGGCTTATCTAACCTTATATGGATTTACCGAGCCTCCCAATCCAAGGCGCTTTACAACAATTATGAAAGTGTACATAAGATAGTGGTGTAGTTATGGTGACAGGAGGACAGATGGGAGTAGTTAAGGAGGAGGGGTTGGGGCAGTGATAGGGGTTGGGGTAGTGATAGGGGTTGGGGTAGTGATAGGGGTTGGGGTAGTGATAGGGGTTGGGGTAGTGATAGGGGTTGGGGTAGTTATAGGGGTTGGGGTGGTGATAGGGGTTGGGGTAGTTATAGGGGTTGGGATGGTGATAAGGGTTGGGGTAGTTATAGGGGTTGGGGTAGTGATAGGGGTTGGGGTAGTGATAGGGGTTGGGGTAGTGATAGGGGTTGGGGTAGTTATAGGGGTTGGGGTGGTGATAGGGGTTGGGGTAGTTATAGGGGTTGGGGTAGTGATAGGGGTTGGGGTAGTGATAGGGGTTGGGGTAGTTATAGGGGTTGGGGTGGTGATAGGGGTTGGGGTAGTTATAGGGGTTGGGGTAGTGATAGGGTTTGGGGCAGTGATAGGGGTTGGGGTAGCGATAGGGGTTGGGGTAGCGATAGGGGTTGGGGTAGTGATAGGGGTTGGGGTAGTGATAGGGGTTGGGGTAATGATAGGGGTTGGGGTAGTGATAGGGGTTGGGGTAGTGATAGGGGTTTGCGTAGTGATAGGGGTAGTGAATGGGTCTCTCAGTGGCTTTACCGAAAGACCCAAAGAATATGAATTCCTGCAGTCACGAAAGCTTTAAGTCAAGATATAACCTATAAGGCTTTAAAAGGGCTCACCCCACATTACTCGCAAGAACTAGTACATTTATATATTCCATCAAGGTCTTAAGATCTTCTAATCTCCAACTGCTCAGCGCTCCCATAGGTCTTGGTTGCACTCTTTTCGCGATCGGGCTTTTGTTAGTGTGGCACCCAAGCTATGGAACGCCTTGCCACTTGAAATCGGGCAATATATTTAAGTCTGCTCTGAAAACCCATCTCTTGAAAGTGGCCTCCCTTCTTTAGTTTGGTCGGTTGCCCTAGTTCTGTTTTTGTTTACTGCTTTTTATGCATTGCGCATTGGGATCCTAGGATGGAATGCGCATTAGACATTTTAATTATTATTATTATTTAGTTTGACCAACTGGTAACTCGAGGGGCCAGAAACTCCAAATCCCTGTGCAAATGGAGGTAGTGTCTGAAAGGGACACAAAGAGCCCTGGAGAGATGCACGCTTCAGATTACACTGAGACAGAAAAGAGGAACAAGTGGATTAGAGAACATACACAGGTTAGATACATAATCTTGACCGTTACAAAAAGTAAGTGGGCTTATCGCCAACTAAGCATTCATACATGATAAATCAATGAATAATTTCGACCAATAGATGATACAAGCACTGTATATCAATTATAAGGTTAAATCGACATGGGTAATTGGTGGCCAAAGGTTTCTGATGGATTGCAGAGCCCGTTGAGATCGACAAATAAACATCACAGCGCTCGGTATATTAGTCAACGCTGATATATACCATCCGATGAATAATTCCACCACAACTCACGGCATGACGGTGTATCCGAGGGCGGGCGCCAGCTCCGTCATGTTGTAAACGCTGAGGCATTGCGACACGTTCACCTTGGGGTAGTAGTGCAGGAAGCCAAGGCACATCTCTTCCTGGGTGCTGAGCCCACCCTGTGGGGAGAAAGGCGTGAGAGATGGGATCATGTGGTAGTGAGATTGTGAGACGTTGTTGGTGGAGGGGCGGGCAGGAGGATCCCAGCACTTGTGTCGGTAACGCTTATCAGGGTTGGCTACGTACGGTGCAAAAGAAGTGCAACATGCATGCATACATACATATTTACGTTTCTTTAAGACACCATATAACATAATTCATACTTGGAGGCGTGTAGATTTAATTTACCGTGGTTGTCGTGGCTTTGTCCTTGCTGTTGTAGAGGCACTCTGTGATGATGAAATCGCCCTGAAATCAAACGCAACAAAACATTGGGGTGAAACACAAGGTCATCAAAAAGGTAAAATAATCAACCATGCTCGTGTAACACATTCCTGCGGAGGGGGCTGGTAGGAACGTTGGTTGCTCGGTCAGTGGCCAGGTTAACGGCGGCGTGGTGTATTCCGCAAATATGCCCGACTGTGAGGGCGGGCACAAGTCGGCGTGAGTAGGTTAAACGTTGAGTTTTATAAGGGCACAACGGGGTGACCAGCCCCTCCCCACCCAGCCCCACCCCACCCAGCCCCACCCCTCCCACCCCCCACCCAGCCCCACCCTCCCCACCCAACCCCTCCCCACCTTCCCCTCCCCACCCAGCCCCTCCCCACCCAGCCCCTCCCTACCCTCCCCTCTCCACCCAGCCCCACCCCTCCCATTTTTTATATCCGAATGTCCGGATACACGTGGACAGACATCCACAGACATACACAATTAATCCCCTGCCTCCTGTGAGAATTAATCCCGGTTGGGCTTCCAGTCCACTACGTTTCCTACCAGTACCAGTATAAATGGGCGCTAGGTGGTGATGTTTTTATATATCCGGGTGTCCGGATACACGTGGACAGACATCCACAGACATACACAATTAATCCCCTGCCTCCTGTGAGAATTAATCCCGGTTGGGCTTCCAGTCCACTACGTTTCCTACCAGTAATATCCACTAGGAGCGCTTTTGTTATATATCCGGGTGTCCGGATACACGTGGACAGAAATCCACAGACATACACAATTAATCAACCTGCCTCCTGTGAATTAATCCCGGTTGGGCTTCCAGTCCATATAAGGGCACCACGGGGTGACCAGTCCCTCCCCACCCAGCCCCACCCCACCCAGCCCCACCCCACCCAGCCCCACCCCTCCCACCCCCCACCCAGCCCCACCCTCCCCACCCAGCCCCTCCCCACCCTCCCCTCCTCACCCAGCCCCTCCCCACCCAGCCCCTCCCTACCCTCCCCTCTCCACCTAGCCCCACCCCTCCCACGTGGACAGACATCCACAGACATACACAATTAATCCTCTGCTTCCTGTGAATTAATCCCAGTTGGGCTTCCAGTCCACTACGTTTCCTACCAGAATAATTGATTTTTTTATAAGCTCACGATACATGCATTGAATCAATCGCATGAGAATAAATTATTGTCTTATTTTCATATTTTGTCTGTGATCTATACTTGAATCAACGTGACCCTCGATCAATTACAATTCATCCTTTCGCAAGCGAGGCGAATTGATACCTGACTATTATGTAAGGATATCAGCCATACTTGGATAGCGTGTTTGTAGGACATGGGGGTGACCATGGATATTATAAACACCACAACCGTCACGATGGGGCGCTACTGCGCAAGGCGAGCATTGACATGGCTTGCTAGATGGTGATTGGTTGGAAGATTTAAAGAGGGAGAAGGCGGGGATATTTGAAAGAGGCAAGGGGGTCCGTTGAGGACTGTTATTAGGGGAGCTGAGATATTGATTCGAAGGAAGGGAATGGTTGGAGATTGGAGTGGGGGAGGGATAAGAGGATAAAAGGGAATAGAGAGGGGCAGGAGGTGGTGCTTAGGAGAGGGAAAGCAAGGGAGTTGTGTTGGCTGCTGGTGGGCACTGGACGTTGTTGTTGAGGTCAATAAACTTGATCCATGAAGGGCGGCATTTGGAGTCCTTCATCACACTTACAACGCTTGAGTAGTAGACCTGGTTTAAAAGGGGTCTTCTGCGGTCACACAAATGGCAGCCAAACGTTTGGCCTACATGACTCGGTATTTGAATTTTATAATTCTGCAGCTAGTCCCACTTGTGAGCGATCGTAATCGGCCCCTAGGTATTCACCGGCATCACGGAGACGAGCTTTGTCAGGTAGCGCGTCTCCTGGAAGTTGAAGTCGTAGCCCATGTCGCGACCCAGTTCGCCGATCTGCTTTCCAGCCCTGGCCAAAGCGACAGTGAACACTGGGTGAGTGTTGGACTGGGACCTGGTTTTCCAAATTGGCAGTGGTGTAGACTTTGCCATGGAGTGCAAAGATGCAATAGGTAAATGGCAACAAACTCAACACATTCGTCAATAACACTGCTCAGCCTTAGAATAAGTATATGAATTGGCAACGTTTTGGGCAATGGCTCTTCTTCAAAGCACATGCAGAAGAGCTGTGAATCAGGGCCATTGCCAAAAAAGTTGCTGATCATATACTTATATTTATTTTATATATCGACGCCACATTTACAAATTCACCAATATTCTCAATTCAAATACAAATGAAATAATTGCATGCTGCGAGCGCCTGATGATTGCGTAAACACTTGCCGTGTAACGAACAGTTCACCGGTTCAAGCTGACACCGGTGCCACTTGTGTTGCAATCTTTTATCGCGTAAACTCATAAAGCCTCGTGAACATCGCCGCATTGTGACGCTTTATAAAGGACCAGAATTGGGCGTATCATCAGCCTCGTGCTGCTCTTGCCACGAGCGTCGCACTCACCTGTAGTGCCGCAGCTGGATGGCCTTGCCCAGCAGGTGAGCATGCAGGAGCGAAGCGAAGACCTTCATCTCTCCGCTCTGCGTCACCTGTACGAACACAACGCCAATTTTTCTCTCCGGCCGTAGCACTCCACTGGGCAGGCCCACACTTTTAGAATATTTGTTCCAATTTATGTTTCCTCTTTTTAAGTTATATTTGCAATCGCGCAAACAAATAAAAGATATAACGGGGGGGGGGGGGGGGGGGAGGTCGCTGTGTACGGCACGGACGAAAGGATCTAAAGTAAAATGAACCTAGGCAGGAAAAAGAGGCAGGGGGGAGAGAAAAAAATTAAAGAGAAGAGAAAGGGGAAAATGAGGAGAGTGACGGGCAGAGGTGTACGCAATGGGGCAAGATAGGCAAGCTAGCAACGGGGCACAAAAGAGGACTGCACCTGACACTAGTCGGTCAGCGAATCCTGCAAGAGGGGCCCAAGGGGTTCAAACACAGGCACCTCATAGAGCTGATTCAGCCAATCTTCACGGGCGAGTAGCTTAACAAGAGGTGTTCTTAACCCCAGGCCTCAAGGCCCCTACCGTTGTCCAACGGTACTGCTACCACTGTCCACGTTTGCACATTATATTGTCCCATTAACAACGTCGGCGTTCATCATTCACACAATGATTGCCAGCCGTTGTTGGAAGGATTTTCCAGCCACCAACCCGGCCTGAGCAGCATGGCGAAGAAGCTCGGTCAATCGACTCCGATGACCGACACACACCGTGAATCGGGGAAACCATCCGGCAGTGGATTGTCAAAGATCCATTAATCACACTCCCGCTGCCCACGTCACCGAGTTGCGATGTCGGCCCAGAAATTCACGGTGCTGGGTGGTCGTCGGGTGGTGTTGCTGTGCGGTTACCACTCGAGACATTGGGCGTGGGGGAGGGGGGGGACTCGTAGGTAGACAGGGACCAGGTGAGTGGATGTTGTCGGTCCTATGGGGCACTTCACCTCTCTACCTAGCGCCACGCCCCTCGGACGTGGCATCGCGTCTCGCAGCGAGGTCCCGTTGTGGTCGACGGTGGCGAATCCCTGGGTGGGACAGACGCCGTAGCTCGTGTAGGAGGAGGCTCCGGGCGGCACAAAGTGAAGGTTGTTGACACCGACGCCGGCCTGCAGCACCCCGGCGTCGTAGGCACGCAGCTGCGGCGTGACGTAGAAGCGCAAACCGGAGCTGTCGATCACGTCTGGTGGTCGCGGTGAGAGCAAGACGTGCGGGCGGGGCACAATTCAAATCTCGTCGTGTTTTGTAAGGCTTTTTTTTCGTTGTAAATCAACGTCGGCTGTTCTTAATCGCAGACCGTGAGATGTCCCACTGGCATTTCTCTCCATGCTTGTCATATGCAGACCAACCTATTAGGTTTGCGTGCCCGTGATTTGCAACCAGTTAATGGTATAATCTTAAATAAAATAAAATAAATATATAATGCTTAATTATTATTCGTGATAAATTTGTACTTTTTTACTGCTTCCTTCAAAAAAGACAGTCACAATGGACTCTGGCCTGGTTATAAAGCAAACAAAGCCTAATGATTCATCAATCACACACTCCGCTGAAATTAATAATATATATGAAAAAATAAGAATAGGTTTTACCCTTTCTGGCAATAAAACAGGTGTTATGGAATTCAAACACCAAATATAAACCTTTTGCAAGGAATAAAGTTCTCATTAACCACACGTACTTGTGGTGATCATGCAAACAAACTTGCTCTGATAAAATAAATAATATATAAAAATGGTTTCGGGCAATGGCCCTTCTTCAGAGCACACGGTAACTCTGCCGATTGATAGTATTCTCAAATGTCAGAATACAGTATTATAATGCATCTGTGTGCATCTCGTGCAGTATAGAGTGGACACAAATCATGGAGAAAGAGAAAATGGGTGATGATGATTATGATGGAGGCGGAATCGCAGGGAGGTGGAGACGATTGGGAGAGTAAGTGGCTCGCGAACAGGCGATGGGTCTCGAAAGGGCCTGGCTAATGAGCCATGCCACGCGCACAAGTGAGTGCGTCCCGTACCTAGCACCTGCCCGGGGTTGTCGTAGTGCATCTCGATCAGGACCATCTTGGGGTCCCCTTGCGCTCCCAGGGAGTACCCGGCCTCGGGGGGGTAGTCAAACGTCTGTAGCACAGGCACACAAAGACAAAGATTCCCCCGTACGTTAGCGATCACCTATGAAAGCCAAAACGGCACACGAGGGGGTGGGTGGTCAGCACCACGTGGCTATGTTCAGGCACCGCACCAGGTACTCATTTGAGGCTGAGTCGGCCTAGGGGAGGACCCAGCACCGCTTCAAACTCGGGTCACCGGGTTCGCAACACAGTGCACTAACCGCTACAACCACCGCTCCCCAAACAATATAAAGACAAAGATCACCCACATAGCCTTAACAGACTGCAGGAGCAAGTGCTGTTAACGGGCACCTATGAAGGTCGTGATGGCAGCACCACCGAACAACACGCACAAAGTAACACCGTGCATGCGAATATGAGAATACAGACACGAACACACACACACACAATCGTCAGCGCAGATGTGCGATGGGTGATGCGTGTGCATTCGTGCGTGCGGGGTTACCACGCACCCCGCCGCCAATGGCCCACGCAGCGAGCACGGAGGTGCAGGTGGAGAAGGAGTCGGGCATGTTGGGGTGGTAGCACTGGTGCGTGACTCCCACGTGGGACGCGTTCACGTTGTCCAGGCACACGTACACGAGAATGTGGTGCACGAACGCTTCGTTGCCGACCTGGACGATGGGCTGCACCTGCACGCACAGTGGAGGGGTGCACACGTGAAGAACGCGTGGGGTGGACGTGGAACACGCGGTTTCCAACTTTTGCATTTGGTTTGCAAACCGTTGGACCAACGTTGGGCCAACGTTTGACTAACGTTGAAGCAACGTTGATCCAACTTTTGGGCAACGTTGGTCCAACTTTACATGTTAATGGGGACGAAGCATCAACGCCACTCTCTAAAAGTCAATCACCCTCAATGCACTGCAATATCGTCAGATCTCCCAAGCCAAATGGGATTGAGCCTCGTAAGTACCTGATTTGGTGGGTGACTGCTTGAGAATACCAGCTCACTACATGCACAGGCTTGGACTGCGAGGTGGCCAGAATATTGGAGAATGTCAGCTTGTTCAGGGTGCTCCAGATGGCTTGTGACTGCCAATTAATTGAACCCTAAAAGTTTTTTCATTTGAATATTCTTTTCTGTTTTAAGTAAATTTAACTTTAAAAATATTCAGTTTTAAATAATTAAATGTGGGTTACAAAACATCTGGACCACCCTGTACATATCAGTCTGATGTGTATACTCTAGTCTCCTGCCACATTCCAAACACGTAATAATGTCACTTGCCAAACATCCCAATGCAAAACCCTCCCAGTTAAAGAGTCTTGAGGCTCACATACTTCGGAGTTTTTTTTTTTCCGGGTGAGTTAGGGAAGCTCTTTTCAATGGCCACGCGGCCAACAGGGCAGGTAAGGTAGCAGGCGAAGTTACACGGGAAAGGGCAGGGTTCAACACATCTGTTTAAAGATTTATCATGAAGGACAAAAAGCTAAATACCTCGCGTCGCAAATGTTACACTCCACTACCGTGTCAGGTGACAACGTTGTGGCACAGGGTGTTGCATTGTCAACGGGCCAAAAACTACACACGCCCACCCACCGTCTTCCCCACAAACACCCTCCCCTAGCTCCGTCGCACAGCAAGTGACATCAATGGAAGTGTGCGTGCAGTGTTTTCCCCGCTGTGAACCTTGATGAGGTGATTTTTCTTGCTGAACTTGGGCAGAGAGACGAGCTTGCACGCGTAAAATGTGGAGGCGCCCGGGATCGGGTACTGGAAGCGGACACGGCGAGGGGAGACAGAGGAAACGAAACTATTAAAAAACGATGTTTTATTTTTACCAGCAATATAGCTCTTTTTTCAGACGCGACCTGACCACAAATGATAGCTCAGGGAGTGGCTTATGTGGACATTTACAGCAGCTAAATGCTCAAACCGCATGTTTCTAAATGTGGAGGGAAACACCGGAGGACACGGAGAAAAATCCACACGACCCACGACCTCCTGTATACCAGTCGAGAGAGTTAACATCTCGCCGCCGTAGCGCTCCACATAACACAACAGCTGCCGTTCAGACTGCCTCGTCGTGCCCTCATATCTCTTTACGCTAAAATAAATGTAGTTTATTTTAATGCAATGAGTAAAAAATAGCTTTGGACTATCATCGAAAAATTTACTTATGGATTGATTTACGTATTCATATAACTGATTTCCCAGTTAACATAAACGTTGATCCAATGTCAACCAACGTTGACTTACTCAACATGCCATTTTTTTGGGTTACTGCCAATTTCTTATCAGTGGGGGAAAAATATCCAGTGGCCGGCAACGAACCCAACGTGGCCTACGAGTGTAAGCGCCGAGACTTAAGGCACTGACCCCCAACGGGCTAATAGAATCAGAATATTTATTTATACTGGAGGAATTCAATTAGCTATAAATATATTTTTCACATGTTCAGCAGGGGCGGGTCAGAACGTTACAACAACATAAACACACGATAGGGGTGCAAGTATAGCACAGGTAAACAAATCAATTTAACAAAAAAATACAAATAAAACTAAGCTATTTTAATCTTATCAGATACAGCCCACTGGGGTGTTCACTTATTTTTCAAAAGTGACCTGGCCACGAATGATAGCTCAACAAAGTGGCTTATCATGTGGAAATTCATAGCAGCAAAATAATCTAAATAATGTCGCGCGTACGGGGGATATTCACCCGTGCGTGATTTGGGGCTTACACGCACCTTGTCAAAAGTCAGGTTAAAGGAGTCGTGATCTGGAGGCAGGGGCTGCTCGGTGGCAGACCCGTGGCTCAGAAGTTGAACGCTCTTCGAGCCCCGCGTGGCTGCGCCATGGTACAGGATCTGAGCCTCGCTCGCTGGGTCGTCAACGCTGTAGGCCCAGATCAAACGCACCGTGTCCTCCTGCCGAAAGACAAGGCACGAGTGGACACACAGACACACACGCAGGTCAACAAGGCTTGATGATTCAGAACATTGCTGGTTGTGAACATTTGAGAACATGTTAAGGGGAGTTGGGAAGGCGTCACGTTCAGTTATTACTGCCACCATTGCGAGAACCCTTGTCAGTGATGACATTACTCAGTGGTGGCGTGAGACGGTGGGAAGTTGTCTGGTGTCAACGCTGTAAGATACGGACTCTTTAAGTGGACTGCTTGACTCAGTAAATGTGTACGTGCAGTACAGGGACTCCTCTACTTACAAACATTCGAACTTTCAGAGATACGAACAAACCTATCCGTAGAAGTTCAACCGCCGCGTAATCGATGGCAGTGGTAGCATCTACATCTGCAGAACATGAAGAACCAGTTGCATCTACATTTACATGAGATTATACAACGTTCAAAGCCATTCCTGTGTTTAGTGTACATGCCGTACAACATGTTAGGAGTCGACAGAAAAAAATAAATCGACTTACGAACAGACCTCTGGAACCTAACTCCTTTGTAAGTAGAGGAGTCCCTATAGTTATTAATGGGGACATTTGAATGGACAACACTAACCGGTAAAACTTACAGGGGGAGGAGGCGGCCGCTGTAGATTCTATGTACACCACAACGGAATTTGTTTAACTGTTTTAAGAGCAGCAGCATCACCAGATTATTGTTTGATTAAACACTTTGTGTTTAACTAAATGTTTACACAGGACAATATGTCTGCACATGTATTTTATGACCAATAGCTGATGTACTGCCTTGTGTCGATGGCACTGCTCCATCGTAAAGCGAAGCTCGTTAAGGATGGGCGGTGCGGTTTATTGCTAACGTTTACGATGCTTGTTGAGTGTGAAAGTTGTAATTTTCGGAATTTTAAAAGCCTAAGCTGGCGTTCGTTAAAAGATAATTCTGTTTGTTCTTCAGTACATCCATAGTATTGCACCTGGATTATGGTCGACCTTCACGTGACTTTCCAGCCCTTACCCCCAGGTAAGCTCTAGTAGGATAGCGTCGACTTAAAATTTCCGCCAATTGTGTCCCGATTGTGCCACGACTAACGGCGTCACGCCACAAGATGGTGGGTCCTATCAGATGCATCCTTTCTTTGAGTGACCTGTGGTCTACACATGGAGTGTAAGAGGGTAGCACTAGGTCGACTCAGCCTCAAAATGAGCGACTCGTGTGATGCGCAAACATCTCCACTGGGGAGACAAAGGCGGTCCGGCATGATGCTGGTCAACCACCCCCTCGTGTGCCGTTCTGGCCTTCACGGGTGCTCGTTAACAGAACTTGCCCGAACGGCCTGTTAAAGGCTATAAGGGGGGATCTTTGTATTTATCTGTGTGCGTGCGTGTGTACACGTGTGTGTGTGTACACGTGTGTGTGTGTGTGCAACACGCACGGTGATGTCCCTGTCGTTGGCGTCGCACGTGCGCAGCGCGCGCACCACGCGCATGACCGTGTGGGTGCCGTTCTCGCTGAGCCGCACGAGTTTGTAGTCCTGGCTCGCGTCCCGCACCAGGCTCCGCTCCCCCTCGATGTGTGCGTCCTGACCGCACAGCAGCAGCCCAATGCAGGTGGGGGGGGGGGGATGAAAAGGGGACCAAGGTTAGAGGCGACCTGGCCACACGTGATAGCTAATCGACAGTGGCGTATATCATCACCACAAGTGGGAATAACCAAATAATTTAAACGCGTCAGGGTCCGGGATCGAATCCCACTGCCTCCTTCATAGCAGGTGAGGGAGATGGCATCTCCTTGCCAAACGCGGCACCTCAATTGTCGTGCGACCTTCCCATTGAAAGCACACCTGCCTTGTTTAAATAGGCACAGGAGTTGGACGCAAACACACGTGGCGGTCCTTGTGTTTGCAGTTTTCTTTTTAGGAAACTGCAAACAGGGGGATGAGATTTCCCCTAAAAACTATCACCGTTTGAGTGAAGGTTTTTTTTTTAAGGAAAGCGATGAGTCAGATTAAAACAACTTTGAGTACAATTGTATCGCACTGATGATGACAGCACAAACATTGGGAATACCGGGTATCGCAGGGCTTAGGCTGTGATGGATTCGTAAATCCATGTGTGCTGAGGTTTTGAGTGCTCTTCCCCTTGTGTGCGTGGTAGATTATCTCACTCTCTCTCTGGGTGATCCGGTTTCTTCGCATCCACACACGCCGAACACCCATTTATCGAAGCGGCCAAACACGCAAATGCAGGAGCATTTCCATGGTTGGAAGAATGTCATTAGTCACCTCTTTGGTTTTGCAATGAATGCAGGAGGGTTTTATGTGGGCGCGGAAAGGATTCTCGTGTGGGTTTAGAGGCAGCGTGGCCACGCATCACACCAATCACATCACCACTACAACCACCACCATTATCATCATCACTACCATCACTGCGTCACCATTACCTACGTTACTTTCATCACATCAATTTCACCACTACAAACACCACGAAACCATCATCATCGATACCACAACCAACAGCAGCACTATCCTTATCATTATCACCCATCACCGTTGTCGTCATCATTATCGTGACCAAGGCCACCTCATCCACAATTATTAATTCCATCGCCATCACGGCAGTATCACAGTCATCAAGACGCCTCCAACAGGGGGAGGGGGGGGGAGTTCAATATAGGGAGAGAGAGACAGAGAAAGCCTATGCTCTGGAAAACTACGGGGAGTGTTGTGGTGAGCGGACAGAGGAACGCGTTGCCCGCCGCTCGGCACTCACCACGAGGTGGGTAGCGGCTGCGCTGTCCACCCACCCGACCACCACGTCAGAGCCGGCCATCATCCCCGTGGAGCTCAGACCCAGCCCGACCCAGCCCCGGGTGCGAACCCGAGCTTCCAGGACGATCTGGTCGCTGTCGAACGCCCACGAGACGTGAAATTTGTCCGGAGATAATTCGGTGCTGAACGTGAGGTCGGCGTCAGGATCCAGGGCACAGGACACCCCCACGGCCATCATCACCACCATCACCACCATCGTCGTCATCCTCGCTGGTAGGTCGTGGCTAAGCATAATTATTTGTCTGATAATTTATGAAAAATCGACTGTGGTAATTAAATAAAACAATACTTTGACAATACCAAATTACAGTTTTTTTTTTTTTATTACAGATTGCGTCGCAACTTCCTCACTTATAGATTCAAACACAATTGTCAGCTGCTTCTGCTGTGGACCCTGGTTTGATGGCTAACCACCTGTGCTAGCTCGCACTTTCGAAGCCTAACTTTTTATAAGGCACCTTCCAAGGTCGTGTCGTAATGTCGAGTGGGGCGGGGAAAGAATGAGGGCTGACATTCCATTTTCTGCAATATCTTAATTACTCACCCACCCACTCACTCTCCACGGACCCATTGCTGCAGTTATAAATCTCAACGTTCATCCTACCAAGTTCCATCACCAGGGAGAAACACAAACAAATTGACAATGTTTTCCCGTATTGAAACAGTTGTGCGCCGTATAGATCATACAACTATATTTCCCTGTACAAGAACACGGGTAAACCGTATGGGTTGACAGGTATGCGGACCAAACACCGCCCGTAAAGCTTTTAACATACTGTTGAGGCAAGTTCTGTTAGCGAGCCACCTATGAAGCCTGGAGTGGAGAAGTGCCGTAGCCGACTCGGTCAAGAGGGTTGAAGAAAAACAGGGAGAGGAAAAAAAGCCGCTTAGCATCAACACCAGCAGCGGCACGACACGACACAAATCCCGTGAAGCTGACGAGCAACTCTCGCCCACAGTGCGGCCGATGCTTACGTTCAAGGGCTGGGCTCTCTCTCATCCCACCAGCGCTGTCATCATATTCTAGATTTCAAGCTTTCGTGACTGCAAGGATCCATACTCTTTGGTTCTATTCGGTAAAGTCACGTAGGTAAAAAATAAAACAACAAAAATCACGACGTTTCGGCCACAACACAAGCGGCCTTCATCAGGTGAAGGGACCAGGCTGTCTCGAGGACAGCGCTGGAGTGAAACACAGCCACGCTCAGACCGCGGACCTTTAAGCTGTGTGCGAGGAAACAAGGTGCCTTGACAAAGGAATTAGCATAAAAAATAGCATTTGATTGGTCGACTTAGCATGATGAACGGTGTAGAGGTGGTGTACATGCGGGTGCACATGCCGGTTGGCGAGGGGGGGAGGGGGAGTTTTCCAATTGATGGTGTGAAAAGGGAATCATCATAGTTCGCGATAGACAGCCGAAGAGAGATGAAGTCTGGCACGCCACACGAGGGGGTGGGTGGCCAGCACCACGCCCGACCGCCTTTTGCCTCCCAAGTGGCGGTGTTTGCGCACCGCACCAGGTAGTCACTGGAGGCTGAGTCGACCTAGGGGAGGCTCCGGACCGGGTCATGTAATCGTCACTGGTATTGGTGGCCGTGAACGGGAATCGAACTCGGGTGGCCGGGCTCGTAGTGCAACGCGCTAACCGCTACACAACCGCTCCACGGAGCACACACAGACAACAAATATTCCAATCTTTAGTCATAAGACTGCAAGGACAAGTGTGTTTTTGCGATCACCTGTTATTTGAGGAGCGGTCGTGCAGAGATTCGCACGGATTGCACACACGATCAGAGCAACCTAACCGATAAGTTTGAGTCCAATTCATGACCAACTAATTGCCCTAATATGTCAAACACATTTGTAACAAGTTCATCATCATCATCATCGGCCGTGCAGAATGAAGGTATCCCCACCATTCTTCCCGGCCCTGCGATGCCTAAATTAATCGCCTTGCAATAGGCGCCGATCGCATCTTGGAATGTTCGGTGTGCTCACACAATGGGATTGGAATTGCACACCCTTTCTTTGCGCTGAGCTTACTCACCCCTTGTGTTAACACAGGGGCCACGATGGGTCACTCTCACCCCCCTAATGTGCCCTATTTTATCTCTCTCTTTCTCACGGGAAATCCATGGCAAGGTGTGTGTTGTTGTTGTTTAAACGTTCTTACCCGCTCCTACTAGAAACCTATGAAAAAAATATTTTTAGCTCATCGGATTCCTCCAGTATAAATAAATATTCTGATTCTGATCTCGGCTTCCGGGATTAAACAACCCAAAAAAACCCCTTGTGAGCGCTGCTCTCCGAGTGCGGCCGGGCGCGATGCTGGCTACGAGCTAACAGCACTTGCCCCAAAAGTCCGTTGAAGGCAATACGGCCGATGTTGGTCTTTTTCATCATTGGACACACACCAGCGCGCAGTGACATGCGTCGTATAAATATACAAAGGTCCTTCGTAAAAGCTGAGAGGCCGTACGGCCAAGCGCTATGAGCGAGCACCTATTATTGCCGGAAAAAAAACACCACGAGATAGTGAGTTGCGTGGTCAGCTCCACGCGACCTTGCACTTGCATTTCCCGTTACACAATCGAGAGCTCTGATTGATGGACTCTTTATTGGGGGGGGGGGGGGGGGTCGGCTCAGGTCAAACGTTATACATTCGACGCCAAGACTCAGTAAGTTTCAGCGCATCCACAGTAAAATGTGGAACGTTGGTTCAAGGTTGGGTCAACGTTTACAAGTACGTACCAACGCTGCCTCAACGTTGGGATGTTTACTGGGTAATCACCTCAACCTCTCCGTTGCGTGAATCACGAGGTTGTTGATTCATGAGAGATTGCACCATCTCTTCTGCTGCTCTTTGTATCGCTGTTGTTTTCCTTCTTCACATTATTACTATAGTCACCCTCGATCTGTTTATCATTTAATGTTTCTGCAGCTCAGTGTGTGTCATTTGTGTCATGATCGATCTGGTGGTGGCAATTTGCACGGCAGGGAATTTTAACATTGAACAAGAAACAAGTTTCAACCGTAGCCTACCGTCACGTGCAACAGCACAATGTGGACTTTTTTTTCTCGAGCGGCTAAAGGTATACGGGGGGGGGGGGGGTCTTTGTATTTACTTCATATGAGACGCTTCTTAGCTGGGATGAAGATCTTGGGTCTGCTCTTGCGGGGGCTTGTCAGCACGAATTGCCAGGGCATTCCAGATTCCCCAGGGCAGCAGCAGAGAAGGGGTGACCACCCACTCACTGAGCCAAGAGAATGACTGAGGGCGTCGTTCACCAGAACGGAGCAGATAAGGGCGCGAAGGACGGCGGAGTGAGTGTGTGCGATGGGAGGGGGAGGGATAGGCAAAAGGCGAATCTGTTCGATCAAACGTAACATTTTGAATCATTGTTGGCAATGATTCATTGCCAACACTACCGGGTGATCACACACGCACACACATGTAGAGTATAGATGTAGTGGAGTAGAAAGGTGCGTATTGCATGGAAACAAAGACAGTGCGGTTTATGTTGGGTCAGCCTGTTGTGAAGGCAAAGTCATTGGGGTTCATGTTGGGTCAGCATGTAACGAAGGCAAATACAGTGTAGGTTATGTTAGGGCAATTAAGCTGGGAGAGCCATGGACGGCCGTGATTGGTCGGTGCTGTTGCCAGGGCTGGAGGGGCGTCTGGAAGTCTGGCGAGGAACAGGTGTACGGTCACGCGGAGTGCCGTTGGGACGCGGGTTAATTAATTGTGGAGTAATGAGAGCGGGGATAAATTGGGGGGTCGGCAATTGGAGCGGGGAGTTGGAGTTTGGAGAGCTGGGAGACGGAGCTGAGGGGTGGTTGTTGAAGTTGGAGAGCTCGGAGTGAACAGCGGGGAATTGGAGAGTGGAGAGCTTGGAGACAGAGTGGGAGACGGAGCTTAGAAACAGCATAGTGATAGCTGAGCTGAAGACGAGAATAGCCAGCAGTGGAGAAAGCATAGCGATAGCGGAGCTGAACAGAGACGAAGCAGTTAGCAGTGGAGCGAGCATAGTGATGGTGATAGCGGTGAACAGAAACGAAGTAGTTAGCAGTGGAGAGAGCATAGCGACGGTGATAGCGGCGAGTGGAGACGAAGAAGTTAGCGACGGAGTAAGCGAAGTAATCGTGGGGAGTGGAGAGACAAAGGTGGCGAGCGAGTCGAGTGAAGCACGGCGAGCGAGCCATGGCGACCTGGACACTGTGGAATGTGGAGGACATGCTGAGAGTTGTAAATAAAGCGGTGTTTGAAGAAAGACAGAAGTTGTCCGAGTGAAATCGGACACTACATTTGGTGTCAGAGTGACTACGAACCACACCGAGATGTCGAAGAAGGCGGCCAAGAAGAGGAACGTGCCGGTGGACTCGTCTTACGACAACAACGACGAGGACGTTCTACCCGTGTCCGGCCAAGTGGCCGATACTCCTCCGGAGGGCCTGGTCGAACGAGAATCTACAGAACGAGACAGCGGTTCGAGCGGGGCCGAGACCCCGGGACCGTCGGGTGATTGGAGAGTCCTCATGGCCCAGTGGGAGGCCAGGATGGCGACATTGACGGAGGCGTTTAATCGCTTTGTGACATCGGACCACGTACAACCGACGGGGTCAAGTCGACCAGCAGATGTTGCCGCGGGGTCGGAGCGATTGGAAGAGTCCGACGACGATGAAGCGCCACCGTCGAGAACAGCACGGCGACTTCATGTGCAGCAGTTCGAGGCCAAAGTTGGTGATTGGACGGCATTTACAAGACGGTTCCGAGCGGCTTATCAATCTCTGGAGTGGACTGAGGGTGCCGCGCTGCGGACACTGCCGACGGCCCTCGATGATGATTCTTTGGCGACATTTAATGGCTTCCCTGCCGCCGTCAGGTCAACACTGGAGGGGGCATTCGCGGCAATGAGAAAGGTGTACGAGCCGCGGTCAGTCGCCAAACGTAGATTTCAGCAAAGGAAGCGGGAGGGCATGGAATCCCCTCTTGCGTTCCGCAGCGCGCTGTTGGCCCTCGCTCAAGTAGCATACCCGGCGATGGACCAGGAGGCCCTAGATTCCTTGCTGCAGGAGAAGCTTTTGCAGTTGGCGAAGGAGCTACGAGTCGACCTTTCGCTTCCTGACAGCAACAACGACGATGACATGTCGTCTCTACAGATCGCCAGGAACATCCAAGTCAACCTGGACCTGCGCGACGAGCCAGCGGTGGTGGGTGTGCAGTCGCTGCTGATGAGCGCTGCCGCGTCCGAGAGCGCGGTGGTGGTGGGCGAGGCGCCGCCGATTGCAGCGGTGGCCGGGGTGCCACCCGCGGGCATGCTGCGTCATCCCGCGGTGTGTGGAGGTGGCACACAGTGGACGTGCTACGAGTGCGAATGGAGAGGACATCTCGCCCGCGACTGCTGGCGGCGCAGGGGCGGCCCTCCAAGGGCGTCGACCAGCTACAACTCATTCACATCTCATTCGTATGTTGCGCATGGTCAGGATGTGTGGGGCGCGTTGGTGCATCGTGTTTTGGGAGCTGCGCCGGGGTCGTCGGATGTGATGGCACTTATTCAAGGGGTGATGGTCAGGGTTCTTGTTGATACAGGGGCTTCTGCGACCCTTATCTCATTACAAACTTTTCACTCATTGCCAACTTTGCCCCAGGCCCTAGAACCGGTTGACGGGCCGTGCATAGCAGCAAATGGTGGCAGCCTCGGTATTATGGGTTGTATGGTCGCGATGATTCAAATTGGGGAAGTGAGCGTTACGGGGAATGTTTTGGTTTCCACGGCCTTGGCGGTACCGTGTTTGTTGGGCACGGAGTTTTTGCAAAGGATGCCGCTTAAAATTTCGATAGAGAAGGGGTGTTTGAAATTGCCATCGGGGAAATGTCAAAAAATTTGGGAAGGCCTTCTAAGTTCGCTGTTGCGAACGCCGTGGTGCTGGCCCTGGTGAGCCGCACCATTCGCGTTCCACCTGCCACGCAGATGCTTGTGCCGCTGCGCTTTAAAAAACAGTTGCCTTTCGATGAGCAACAGGAGGGTATATTGCTGACCCCCTCAAATGCTGTATCACGGATGCCCACTTTGGTAGGGGCT